GATCATGTTATGCATTATGATGCAAGCTGTCATGATGTCTTTCAGCACACTAGGTTGCCAGAAACGTCCTGGTCCACGAACAATCGCAAATCGAGCTTGCAACACGCCAAAAGCTCGCTCAACATCTTTTCTTGCGCTCTCTTGTTGTTGAGCAAAGTATTTATGCTTGTTTCCTCGCGGTGCTGGAATAGTCTTCACTAATGTGGACCACTCTGGGTAAATCCCGTCTGCGAGATAGTATCCCATATTGTACTCGTGGCCATTAACAGTATAGTTGCACGGTGAAGCTCTTCCCTCCGCAAGTTGTGCAAAAACCGGTGAACGATGTAGCACATTGAGATCATTGTGAGACACCGGCAGTCCAAAGAATGCATGCCATATCCAAAGATCTTTGCTAGCTACGGCCTCCAAAATAATTGTAGGTTCATGAAAATGCCCAGTATACATACCTTGCCAGGCGGTTGGACAGTTCTTTCATACCCAGTGCATGTAGTCGATGCTCCCAAGCATACCAGGAAAACCTCGTTGTGATCCTTCCTCGAGCAGGCGTGCAACGTCTTCATTAGTCGGTGAACGAATGTATTCCTCCCCAAAGATGTTGATAATCGATCGCACGAACCTCTTCACGCTCTTAAGCGACGTACTTTTACCGATCCGAACGTAGTCGTCAACGGCGTCAGCGGATGCTCCATATGCGAGCATCCGCATAGCTGCAGTAATCTTTTGAAGGCTAGATAGCCCTAACTGTCCCGCACCATTCCTCTTTTGGACGAAGTACTTGTCATGTTCGACGACAGCGTCGTGGATTCGAAGGAATAACGAACGCGACATTCTGAATCTTCGACGAAAATAATGAAGAGGATATGTTGGTGTGTCAGCAAAATAATCTTGGAACAACCGATTGTGGCCTTCCAGTCGGTATCGATGGAGCACGGTACGTCTTTTGTGTTGAACTGAAGTTGAACCTTTCCCTTGTTCTTCTTCCTCGACGGCAGCAGCTCCCATAAGAAAGAACGTCTTCATCATTTCATCATCGCTAGAGCTAGATGAGCTAGACATTTTGTTTTGGGAGACGATGGGTTGAGGTGAGAAGGCATCGAATTTTATAGGAATCAGTCGGTCAAAGTTTGCGATACCTCAAAGTTCGTGCCCAACCTCGAAGACCACGAGCTACCTCGAAGACCGCGAGCTACCTCGAAGACCGGGTGCGTTCCCTCGAAGACCGCGAGTTACCTCGAAGACCGTGTGCGTTACCTCGAAGCTACCTCGAAGACCGGGTGCGTTCCCTCGAAGACCGCGAGTTACCTCGAAGACCGTGTGCGTTCCCTCGCAGGGTACCTCGAAGACCATGTGCGTTCCCTCAAAAGCCGCGAGTTACCTCGAAGACCGTGTGCGCTCCCTCGAAAGCCGCGAGTTACCTCGAAGACCGTGTGCGCTCCCTCGAAGATCGTATCCAACGGTTAGACCAAGTGCAATGGCAAGGCAACTCAAAAATTATTACATCCAATAGCAAGGCAAATTGAAAGGCAAATGAAAAAGTTGGAGAGAGAAAGACAATGAAAGGCAAATTTTGCCTTTGTGTTAAATTTCTTGTTGGGCCCCGCGTGTCATAAAGTTTTTACAATTATTCTCACCTTGTTTTTAAATGACTGTTTTGATCAATAATTACTCGAAATTAATTTTTTATTTTTTCACCACTATTTATTATTTTTCAAGATCTATTAATAGAGCTTGAGTTTGTGTTATTTGGACAAAGCAAATAAAACTTAATTTTTTACTTAATTATCATGATTGAGTGATGTGGAGGAAAGATAAAGTGAAAAACTTTTTGAAAAATTAGTTGTTGTGGAATTGAAAGGCAATTGAAAAAGGCAAGTGATGTGGAAGGAGAATAAAGTGAGGTGGAAGGAGAGAGAAAAGCAATTTTTGCCTTGCCATTGAAGATGATCTTAGAAATAAAATACAAGAGGTTTAAATATATAATTAAAAGTAATGGGTAAAATATTAAAATAGAAGAGGGGTTTTTTTGATATTGTTGGAGCTCCTAACTAGGAGCTTGTTGGAGCTCCATAAAATAAGGAGATGCTCCCAAGGAGGATTTTTATAATTTTTTATACCAAAATGCTTGAGAGCTCTTGAGAGCTTGATGACTAGGACTCCCAACTGGGAGCTTGCTGGACTTGCTCTTATGAGCCACTTTGACAAATTCCTAAAAAACATGCTCTTAAACGAGCAATCCTCATGAAATGGAATAATGAATAGATATCACACTATTGGCTTTCAAATCAAAGCAGAAAAACAACCTTGTGAAGTTGGGAAAATAATTGAAAGAGGCCATATAGAGATCTCAATCAACCGTACAATAAGAGAGTTTCTAAAAGGGCTTGTGACTAAAAAGGAATATGCTTAATCATCAGCCAAATATACGTATGCTTCATATATAGTCGCCACATTATCATCATCGTCTTAAAGAAAAGCTCATGCCGAGAACAAGACCTTTTCACTTTTGACATAAATTCCTCAAGACCTTTTCACTAATTGTCGCCTAAGCCGTCCCTATTCTTATCAGTGGTAACAGTTTATAGCAAGTAGAATAAAAGTAGATAAGGTTTTAATATACCAGGCAACGCTTTATAGCAAAAGGAAAAAAAAAAGTTTAAAGAGAGAAATCAGATGCTCAACCTGCAAGTTTAAGCAGTCAAGCATATTACGCCAGCTCCAACATGTGGATAGCAAGCTCTCAACTACTTAAACTTGCATAAGCGGAGCATTTTGCTGAAAATAAAGCAAGGGAAAAAGAAAAAAAAACAAAAAGCTGTATTCCCCCTTTAAAAAATTCGACTACATAAGCGGAGCATTTTGCTGAAAATAAAGCAAGGGAAAAAGAAAAAAAAAACAAAAAGCTCAGATGCTCTAACTTTTTATGGGAGAAATCAGATGCTCAACCTGCAAGATTAAGCAGTCGAGCATATTACGACAGCGTATCGCTACTCCAAAATGTGGATAGCAAGCTTTCGGCGGAAAAAAACTTTGCTACGGAGAACCAAAATATGGAACCAATAGGAGGGACAAGTAAGGTGTCCCCCTCCTATTGAATAATGAATTGGCCATCATTATTATCCCTTCTATTGATCCCATATTTTGGATCCTTCAGGAATTTTTCACAGAAAAAATGTCAATTAAAAAGTTGCATTACCCCTTCAAAAAAATTCCACTACATAAGTGGAGCATTTTGCTGAAAATAAAGCAAGGGGAAAAGGGGAAAAACACAAAAAGCTAAGGTTGCTAAAACTACATTCTTTCACCTAAACATATGTTTTGTCTTTAGACCAAAGATCTGGGCATGCTTAAGCTTAATCTAGAGACATTGGAACATCACTCTACAAGAAGGTGGAGTATCAAGTAAATTTAAATCTAATGAAGCAAATGAACAGTAGCAAAAGTGAACTCACATGAAACACGTATATCACAAATAAAAGGTTCAAGTATAAGAAAATAACTTTAAACATAGTGCCGATAACAATGCATATCATTCTGTTAATAAACGTACAGAAGTTAGAAGGTCAATATAAAACATATATCACTGATAATAAAAGGAAAAAAAACAAGCTGCCAAACAAAAACGGCAAAAAAGGAAGAAACATAATTTATTTACAAAAAGCATGAAAATCAAACATCAAACAGAACAAAAAAGAGATTTGAGTTTAAAAAAACATTATTAAAAAAGGAGTAATTATCCCAATAATTTCGAGTCAGCTACCTGAATTCTATTCTTCCAATATGTTCAGTCAACTACTACACTTCATTAATATTAATAGAGTAATCCATAGAAATATGAATCACATGCAAAACAAATTTGTAAGGAGTAATAATCCTTATCATTATAATATCATGTCAAAACCCAAATGCATCCTTCAGAAGTTTGGTAAAAATAGTCTGCCAAATGAAATTTACCCCATAAAAAGTTGAGAAAGAAACATCAAGCAAAACCTTACAACACACAAGAAATTATTTCCTTAATAGGTAGATTATCAATGAATGATTATCAATGAATCAATATAATATCATCCAAAACATAAACCACAAGCACGACAACTGGAAGAATCTAAAAATAGTTTCATAAATTCCAAAAACTATTTGTATGAAATGATGAGTTACATTTTGAATCGAACTAAACAAACAAACATGATATTATTGTTAAGGTTTCCAAAAAACACTTATCAATTATAAGAAAACTATAATGAGCACAATTGACAAACTTTAAGAAATGCACAAACAATTGTATCATTAATTTGTTCACTAGCAATGAATAGGCATTTGTAATTCCAGGATAAAAACATATGCAAACACAATGAAGGGCCTAGAAGAAATGGAGCCATGTTAACCATAGGAAACATAGAGCAAAATAAAAACAATGCATCTACTCATAAAAATGGCCAAAGAACAAACATTTCTACAAAATAAATTCAGATGACGGCAAGCAAAAATAAGATCATGCATATAGAATATAGACTTAACAAAAGAATTATACACTAGGCCAAGAAAAACTAAACGAAAACATAAACAACCCACAAATAACTCTATGATCCTGTCCTGTTCGCATGATCACATCACCCACCATATTTTTTTCTGCTTATAAACAGGCAACCCTTTCTAGATGTAATAGCAAACTTAAACCCGCATCATACCACTCAATTTATGCATAATAATTTGCTAAACAATATAAGCACCAGCCATTCAACAACATAAATCAACAAGTAAAGAAGAATGCATGATTATTCAGAATAAGACATCAAGTGATAACCAAACCTTCCATATAAAAAGATGAGTTAAGAGACAGAAGAACATATATCCATCCCAGCAACAACCAAGCACATAACACAAGTAGCAAAAATTCAAAAGCATCATGATCCAGCAACAAATTATAGTAGCCCAAAAAAAACATTAAAGGATTAGAGATTCAAAAGGGTTAAAAGATCCTTTCACCCATTCATCTCCCTTCACGACCGAGGAGCCGTGCATCCCTCGCAAAGCCCGCTCCCCACAGTTGTAGCAAGATCCACCGCCCCCCGGCCGCCGCGCCGCTCCGTACCTCCGCCTCCGCCGCTTCGCGTACTCCCGCCACCTCCGTAGCCACCGCCGCATTCGGCAGCCCTCGCCATGTGCCACTCTCGCCGCGCAGGAGTAGCAACCACCTCCACCTCCACCTCCCTCCCGCCGCTGCCATAGCACCGCCACCGCCCGCCGCCGCCACGTCCACCGCCCTTCCTCCTCCGTACCGCCGCCGCTCCCATAACCGCCGCCTCCGTACCCGCCGCCGCTCCGTACCCCGCCACTCTCGATCCACGGCCACGCCATATCCTCCATCTCCGCGCCACCGTCGCCGCCCTGGACAGGGATCCATCGGGCCCGTGACGTCGACGGCCTTCTTGCGGCCGTCGGCCCTCGGAGACGATGTACTCGACGGACTCAGCCCTGCTCAGTCGGGATCTGAAGCCATCGGACTTGATCGAGGACTGGTGGACGAAAAGATCCTCGCTGCCGTCGTTAGGGCTGATGAATCCGAAGCCCTTGGTGCTGTTGAACCACTTCACGGTCCCCTCCAACCGATCGCTGGACTGGGCCATTGGATCGAGTAGAAGCGGCGGAGAAAACCCTAGTTCTAGGGTTTGAGAGAGACCGAGGAGAGAGAGGAGGTGAGGAAAACCCTAGGACGGAGATATTTTTTGGGAGAGGGAATGGAGTGACTTTATAGAGAAACGAACGGGTGTGGTTGGGCCTCGGGAAAGGTGAACCGTCGGATTTGATAGATGACTCTGAACCGTTGGATTGTGAGAAGAGGGCGATCTTGTCCGTACGTGGCTTAGTGCTTATCCTTTGGGAGTTTTTTTTTTTTTAGGGTTTTGGTGGGGACATGAACAGGTATTTATCGTTGATTAATGACAGTGAATAAGAATTATATGAGACTTTTTCCTTTCTCTTTCTCTTTTGGGATTGTTTGGTTCCTTTCTTTCATTTTCTAAAACTAATTTTCTTTTTCTTTTTTTGTATTTCTTTCACTTTTATAAAAAGTATTTATTGTGTTTATTTCATCAAAATATGAGCTGAAAATATTTTCCGTCACTTTTCGTAGTTTGGCTTAACTTTAAAAAAAAGAAAACAAATGATATGTGAATAGATTCCCTCATTTTCTAATGTTTGGTTCAAATAAAAAAAAATATAACTATGATCATGATGGTGTGCTTACCACCCTTATAGTATAAATTTATTTCCAACATAAATTGAGAGGTAAACATATATCAACCATCACATACATTAGAACTAACATGCTATAAATTAGAACTAACATTGTATAAATTAGAAGTAACATGATATAAATTAAAACTAACATGGTATAAATTAGAACTAATATGATACAAATTAGAACTAACATGAGCCACAATAGAATTAACATGATACAAATTAGAACTAATATGATATAAATTAGAACTAACATGAGCCGTGATAGAACTAACACGGTATAAATTAGAACTAACATGAGCCGTGATAGAACTAACACGGTATAAATTAGAACTAGCATGGTATAAATTAGAACTAACATGGTACAAATTAGAACTAACATTAGCCGCGATAGAACTAACATGGTATAAATTAGAACTAACATGAGCCGTAATAGAACTAAGATTGTATAAATTAAAACTCACGTGGTATATATTAGAACTAATATGGTACAAATTAGAACTAACATGAGCCGCAATAGAAGTAACATGGTATAAATTAGAACTAACATGATATAAATTAGAACTAACATGAGCCGCGATAGAACTAATATTGTATAAATTAGAACTAACATCGTATAAATTAGAACTCACGTGGTATATATTAGAACTAACATGGAACAAACTAGAACTAATATGAGCTGCGATAGAACTAACATGGTATAAGTTAGAACTAACATGATACAAATTAGAACTAACATGAGTCGTGATAGAACTAACATTATATAAATTTGAACTAACATGATATAAATTAGAACTAACATGGTACAAATTAGAACTAACATTGTATAAATTTGAACTAACATGATATAAATTAGAATTAATATGATCATCATGGTGTGCTTACCATCCTTATAGCATAAATTTATTTCCAACATAAATTGAGAGGTGAACATATATCAACCGTTACATAAAAAAATTTAAAATTTTTAGGGACTAATTTGTAATTTTTAAAAAAGTTTTGAGGTAGTGATTTGCAACATATTCAAAGATTTGAGGGGTTGATTCCAAAACCATATAATCATCTCATATAACGAAGAACCAAAATGCTCAATGATCAAGACATAATTGAATGTCATAACAACCAATTGATTACACGTACATCGATCGCCAGTGTGTAATATCCAAGACTGAATCAAGGCTGAAACCAACTCAAGAGAAACCAAGACTCGAACAACCCAATAAACTAGAACTAACATGACATAAGTTAGAACTCACATAACATAAATTAGAACTAGCATTACCCCAGATAGAACTAACATGACCTCAGTTAGACTAACATGGGTGTAGAAACTATAACTCACATGGCATAAATCAAAACTAGCATGACCCTATGTAGATCTAAGATGACCTATGTTAAAACTAACATGGGTACAACTAGAACTAACACAATATAAATTAGAAGTAACACGTCATGAATTAGAACTCACATGGCGTAAATTTGAACTAACATGGGCTACGATAGAACTAATATGACCATTATTAGAACTACCGTAACTCAATTCTTATCTAACATGACGCCAACTAAGACTAGCATGACCCAAATAATGACTAACATGAATACGGCTAGAATTAACATGAGCGCATCTAGAACTAACATTGTGTAAATTAGAACTAACATGGAAGAAACTAGAACTAACATGGCATAAGTTATAACTCACATGGCATAAATATGAATGTAAACAATTTGTTCTCCATCAAATATGAATGTAAACATTGTGAAATAGCCCTCTTTGTACTCTCCAACATTTACATATTTGTAAAATAATTTAATAAGACAGATATATAATTAATGGCTGTAATATGTTAAATCTTCTCACAACTTACAATTGCAATCCAGTCTAATCTAGTCTAATCCGAACCAAAACAATCTCTAATCGCCGATGCTCAATGCTCCATCCACCGGCGTTATCAATTCTGGATCCAAATCTTGATCGGAGCTCTGACAGGTTCGAATCAACGACGGAGATCGATCAGAGGCTCGCTTGTGGGCAGATTTTGTAAGATTTTGTTCTATTGATTAGATTTGGCGTTGATTTTCTTTTGTATTTGTTATTTCCCGCTGTCCTTGGGAGGCGAGGGAGGGGGGATGAAGGCGCCGGAGAGGTAGATGATCTCAAAGTTGCCGTCGAAGAAGAGGACAGAGCCAGAGGGTTGGAGGAGAGAGACGGAGGTGACGAGGCCGAGGCCACTGAGGAGGGAGAAGTCGATGCTACGGCGGAGGGTAAGGGAGAAGATGGAGGAGGGGAGGTCGGAGCCAGGAGAGAGGCGGATGATGGAGGAGTGAAGGGCGGTTGGGGTGTTGTTGAGGATCTGGTGGAGGTCGTCGTCGTTGAGGATCAGGAAGGAGGAAGAAGAATGAAAGGGAGAGAGGGGTGACCAGAACGAGAACAGAAGGGGATGAGGAATCAAGTTTTTTTGTACGAAGAGAGAGAAAATGGGTGTTTTCCGTTATAATCGGGGTTTTTTGAACAGAAAATTTTTGAGAGAGGAATCTAATGTGGCACCCTAACTTTCCTTCACTTTCCTTTTAATTTTTTGCAAACCAAACATATGATTGTGGGGGGAAATAGTGTGTCAGTTTTCTGATGGGTCACTTTCTGCCCATTTCTGCATTTTTTGACCAAACAAACAGGCCCTTGAAAGATTATCAAAGAACTTTTGATTATTAACTAAGCAATATGACAAGTGGGTATCCGAATTGGTGCATGATAAATTTTTAAGTTGATGGATGCAGATATTTTGTTTGGTTTTGTATCATTTCTCAATTAGTTCTATGGGTTGTAATATTTTAATTCGTTATTTCCGTATCAACTTCTAAAAATTATTATGCAAAATGAGAATATGTTAGGAGTCTAGTGCAATAATATGGTAATTTTCTAACGTCTTCACCTTCTCGAGTCCATTTATTCATTTATTCATGAGTAGGGTTGGGCATGGGCCGGGTCGACCCGCAGACTAACCCAGCCCAGGTCGCCATGGGTCATGGTCCAGCCCGAGCTGTAGTGGGCCGAGCCCGACCTAGCCCATAATGTACCTGGATCACAGGCTAGGCTGGGTCCAGCCCAAACCCGATATTAGAAAAGTAGGCCCGGGCAATGATTTTTTTTTTTTTTGGTTAGGCTAGTTATTCTTTTAGTCATTTGAGTCCGCAACTAGCTGTTTCTTTAGCCTTTTAGGTCTATAGCTAACTGCCAACAAAGCCAAAATGCCATAGGTATTTAGCTTGTGAGCCTTTTGGCTTACTGAGAAACAAAGCAACAATTTTTAAGCTCGCCGCTATCTACTTTGAAGGATTACAAAGTTTAATACTAGTTTAAAAATAGATTAATACAAGTTTAAATTACAAAAACATAAATTAAAAATAATTTTATAATTGTGAATACAAGTTTAATATAATTAAAAAGGTAAAAAAAGAAAAAAGTTTGAATGAAAAACTCATGGGCCGACCCACGACCCATGGGATGTGGGCCAGGTCAGACCCGGCCTGCACCTAAGTGGGTCGTGGGTCGAGCTGGGTCTAATTCCAGACAAGGGATCAGAGAAATAGAGCAGGCCCACTCTAACCCAACCGGGCTTGGATTAGGCCCGACCTGTTTTTGAACCCGACGGGAAGAATCACGAACCTGAACCGGCCCGACCCACGCTCACCCAAAACTCATTTTCCTTTAACACGCTAGTCTACTTTCTCAAATAATTGTTACAAGTAAAATATATCATACTCCCTTTAAAAGCACGAGTTCGAAAAATCTTTTTTAGACAAATATACCCCTTTATAGTTTGAACTACCTTATCTATAATCAAATTCTAATTTTCAATGGTTAATATTACCCTTCACTATTTTGAATATTTTATTTATATCTTAATCTATCCTAATCATAATCATATCTTATCCTAATCCTATGTGAACCATGTTTAGCTTAACAATTTAAAAAAACTAATATTAATAAAATATATAAAACATAAAAATGATATTAGTTTGTTAAGATAAAAAAATTACAAGTAGATAACATATTATAATACATGAAGTATTGCAAAAAACCATAAAAAGTTTTAAAATTGCAGAAAAGACCCTGAAAAGTTCAAAATTATAGAACTCATCCAAATGTCTCAAAACTTAAAATAAAAAACATGAAATTAAAAAATTAACATCAGTATGTAAAAAATTTAAATTTTACAGTTAACACCTCAATGTCTAAAAAATTATAGAAACACCATCAAAAGTTTAAATTACAGACAAGCACATTAAAATTCTAAAATTTTAAAACTTACAAACAACACAGATGAATTCAAGAGATTACCATGATACACCTAAAATTTTTAACATTTAAATTTAAATTTTTTAATTAACACCCTCAATATCTCAAAAATTATAGAAACACCTTCAAAAGTTCAAATTATAAAAAGCCACCCTAAAATTCTAAAATTTATAAATAAAATAAGA